GATTAGTCTAATGAATGCATAATTTAATGGAATTTATCTAATTCAAATATTACATATATTAAGAGTGAAATTAAGCTACTTAGAGAAATTCAAATTTCGATATAAACATCAGATCTTTAACTTGAATATTTATCTAAATGTATTTCAAAATATAAGACTAATTAATTAAAGGAATAAACATAGATAGTTGTAAATGAATTATTATAAGATATAAAGCCAATAGATACTTAATTAAATCAAAATCTTTAATAAGATTAATTATAGATTATACTATAAAAATTAAATGATCTTTAAAATCGAATGACTACCCTTGAAATTAATGTCAATCCACTTTTAGAATAAGATACTTTTAAGGTTTCTGAATCTCTTAAACAATTAAAAAATAAAAATTAATAGATGTATTATAATGCTTTAGCTTGGAGATTATATAATTATTTATCTGCAATGTAATAAATTTCCACTAATCTATTTTAAATTAATAATAATGCAATAATCGAAAGTAAATCTGAATAAACTTTAAATATTTTTCAACAGATGTTAAATAAAGGCTCATAGATTTTTGGAGGATTACCTATTATTGGGAATGCTTTTAACATAATTAATGCTGCTCTCGATTTTGGATTTGAATATTATAAAGAACATAAATTTACTACAAGATTAAAAAAACTAAATAATATTTTAAAATGTAGTTCTAGAATTAAGTAAAAATTAATCAAATAATTTGATTGATAAGCCAAAATCAAAATTTAGGAATTTTACAGATTAATTATTGCAAGAAGAAGATAAATAATTCAGAGATAATATTTACTGGGCAGCAGGCTCTGAAGATGCATTGATTATTTTAAATTATTTGGAAGTACATAGTGATAGGATAGTAAATGACTTATTTAGCAAAAAATAATGTTAAGGTAGATAATTGTCTAAGCAATCAAAGAATAAAATGAGTCATCTGAATACAAATAGATAGAATAACAAGGGAACAAAAATAGAAATAACGTTAAAGTAGCAGATAAAAGCTCATTATGTATTGTCTAATGAACCATATAAATATGCAATAAAATAGATATCAAAATTTACAATTATTTATATGAATAATTACCTCCCTTTTGTTATACTTCTACATTATAATAACTAATTGG